GTGCTTGTATGTATCCATACCCAGATAGGCACATGCACATACCATTATATGGACAACATGTAAAAAGAATATATGGTAAAACCAGCATGTTGCTAACCCATGGCTTTTGCAGTGATCCTCGAAAGTTTCCAGAGGTGATAAAATAATTTGCAAAAAGGAGACTGGAAAACAGTGATTAAATTTTGGACTAAGAACGCAAAAACATTTGCACAGATGCAGATGATAGTGACATGATGGTGTAGATATATGTGTACACACCTGTGGATTTTATTTTACTTTATTTATAATTAGACTTCCATGGCTGCCCAGTTGGAAAGGTTCAGAGCAGATTATATTAAGAACACCATAAAAACAGGCTTAAGTAGTCCAAGCTGCCCAATTATGACCAAATGCCCTCATTAGGCACAGAGTGCTGACTATTGGGGGTGGTGGGGGGAGAGAAGGATGCTAAAACCTGGGGAAAAGAATGAGGTACCTTGGAAACCTGCTTAACTTACTGCAGCAATGCAAAGAAACATCCCACACCACAAAAGTTGGTTGCAGCTTCATCTGCTCTTAAAAAAAAAATCTAAACCAACCCAACAATGCATCAGAAAATCAAGAGTGATTCCTGCTTCCCACCAGAAAGATGAAGCAAGTGGAAGCGGGAACGGAGAAAGCAAGACTTTGCAGAGCAGCAAAACAGAGCAGGAACTGAAGATGGAGAAGATGGTGAATCTTTTTAGGGGCAGCCAAAAGAAGGCCTGGGAAAACACAGTGGCAAGAACAAAAAGGACACCGTCTGACATCAGGAGTTTTTTCAAGTTCTTCAAATCAGGAGCTGGGTGGCATTGGCACAGCGCCTTTAAAAAAAGGGGGGGAAGAAAAAAAACCAGAGTTGAAAAGACAACACATTAGGAACATCGTACCAGCTATTCACTGGCACTACTGGATACCCCAAATTACACAGCAACTGGGATGGGGCACAATGCTCCCCAGCTGGAGGCTTTGAGCCTCCGCAGTTGCCTCTACAATGTGGATGACCTGCTGTTTGAAACCAGCACAAAAGGCATCCCCAAGACTTACTGGTTCAACCCCACCCTCCCCTTTGCAAAACAGCCAGTTCTTTTCTCTTTTTCCTCCCATAATAAAAACAGACTTGCCCAGCAATACTAGGAAGAGCAGGGCAAATGATGGGAAGAATTAATTGATGGAAACAAAGCCTATTAGTCCTTTAACCACATGTGGGCAGAAGCTTAGGGAAACACTGCCAATCTTGGTTTAGGAGAAGATCAGCCAGGCTGGGATTTTCAGGTTAAACGACCTCCCTGCCTGCCTCCAGCAGCAGTTCATTGTTTACCTGAGTTTCACTTTATTTGGTGTTTTTTTTTTTTTACATTCTGGATTCCCACCCACTCCCAACCCCCAATTTTGTTAGTTGCCCTGAGGACGTCTTTGAGTAGAAAAGCAAGTTGCATATCAAATTATTTCCATCTCTAATCGTTTTTTCCTGATAGCAAACTGGCATCTATAAGCAAAATACTTTCTTTGCTATTTTCCTGACATCAAGATAGACTGCCCCATATATCGAGGTTCTATTACTTGACTGAAAGAAATTAGGAATCACTTTCTGTCCATCTGATCTACAAGTGATGTATAACTTATATCTTTGTGAGTGAGATTTGTCTGGACTTGGAATCTAAACAGATCTAGATCTGCTTAATAGTGGGATGGGGACTTGCCAAGGATGCCAGGTCCATGAACCAGACTAGGAGAAAGCCATGACAAATCATGTTGGTGTTTTGCCAAAAAAAGTTATATTAAATGTGTTTAATGTAGTTGCCAAAAATTGGGTTTAATTCAAAGGAGCTGTACATTATATACAGAGAAACATAATTCTGCAGCACTTTATCACTCTAGATCGGGGTCTCCAAACTTGGCAATTTTAAGACTTGTGGACTTCAACTTCCAGAATTCCTCAGCTAGCTATTAAAGTTGCCAAGTTTGGAGATCCCTGATCTAGATGGACAGAATTATGATGCCTTATCAGTGTTTGATCATAAGAACATGTCAAGTACCTATGGGGCAATCTGTCTGAATGTCAGGTACCTGATGTAATATATCAGGGCTATGCCCATTTGGAAACTAATTTGGAAGTTGGGCTTCAGACTTTTTCATCAGAAGTGTAGAGTTGGAAGGATCATCAGTGTCATCTACTCACCTCTAGACCCCTAGATTCCACATATCTTAAAGTTACCAAGAGTTTCTTTTAAAATAATCATTTGATCTTGAAGACTTCCAATGAAGGAAAGCTCTGCATCTTATGGACCAGCTAGTTCCACCAGCTTATAGCTAATAGGATAAAGAAGTCCCTCCTGATGTCTAGCTCCCTGCTAAAGAGTGTGAGTTTCAAACTGTAATACTTTAATTACATTCTCAATGGAAAGAGATCTACCAAATAATTAAATGACTTCTCAAAGCAATCTGTCCTTATGCTTGATGTTTCATAAGAACCTTGGAAGGAAAATGTTGAAAAGGTCTGGTCCAAGGAGTACTATTTCACAGTACTACTCCAGTATGACTGTCTCTTCTTAATAATAATAATACTAAAGTTGGAAGGGACCTTGGAAGTCATCTAGTCCAATCCTCTGCCCAGGCAGGAAACCCTATACCATTTCAGACAAATGGCTGTCCAGTCTCTTCTTAAAAACTTTCAGTGTTGGAGCATTCACAGCTTCTGGAGGCAGGTTGTTCCACTGGTTAATTGTTCTCACTGTCAGGAAGTTTCTCCTTAGTTCTAGTTTGCTTCTCTCCTTGATTAGTTTCCACCCGTTGCTTCTTGTCCTGCCTTCAGGTGCTTTGGAAAATAGCTTAATTCCCTCTTCTTTATGGCAGCCCCTGAGATATTGGAATACTGCTATCATGTCCCCCCTTGTCCTTCTCTTCGTTAAACTAGACATACCCAATTCCCGCAACCGTTCCTTATATGTTTTAGCCTCCAGTCCCCTAATCATCTTTGTTGCTCTTCTCTGTACTCTTTCTAGAGTCTCAACATCTTTTTTACATCGTGGTGACCAAAACTGGATGCAGTATTCCAAGTGTGGCCTTACCAAGGCATTGTAAAGTGGTATTAATACTGAAGTAAAGCAATCTCAGTTTAGGTTAGGTTAATAGAAGAATGATTTCTGAATCACAAAAAAGAATAACTTTCTTCTAGCCAGATTTATCTCACTTACTATGCCTGTTTAAAAAAGAATGATGTAGAGAGCATGGGAAAATGGCTAGAAGTGGTGAAGAGGACAACTGGGAAGAAGACTAAAGGTGAGGAGATTATTGTATTTTTCCAATCCCTGAAGGACAGAAACCTCACCCCCCCCCTCCCAAGAAAGGCAATACCCGTTCTAACTATTCCAGAATAGATGACATAGAATCAGGAGTGTTCACAGGGAAGGCATAAAAAAAAAAAAGAATCTGTTTATATATTGGTCTCTTTTTTATCCAGTTTTTAATTTTTTTTAAATATGGGGCCCCTGGTGCTCCCAGAGCTTGGTTGTTTGATTGCAGACATTTCGTTACCAAACTAGGTAACATCATCAGTGATCGTTTTTTAAAACTGACTTGTTTTTAATGTTTTAAACTTTCTAACTGTTCTATTGTTGCTTTATGAGGTTGTAGGCTCACTCAGAGTCACTTGACAGTGAAAAAGGCCACACATAAATTTAATAAATAAATAAGTAAATAAAATTAGATTAAATAAATAAATAAATAAAAATGGTGAGCACAATTGTGTGACTCAAACCTACCTCTTTTTACATCCATCATGGGATAGTGAACTTAGGTAGAGAATTAATACTCCTCTCTTCCCCCCCCCTTTCCAAGTCAGAGGCTTCTGCAGGTTTGGAGGAGGGCACTTTGGCCTGCCCAGGTCCATCTGCCCAGCTCAGCCAAAGTTGCAGAAAAGCACAATCTGGCTGACTGATAAGAGAGAATCCTTGAATTCTTTCCCAGGGTGTCTTTTAGGCTGGGCTCCTAATGGCCTCATGTGATTCAGTGGTTCAATCTCTTCTCACAATTGATATATCTGCATCTTTCTTATGCAGTGAGACTCTGGAAGCATCTCTTGGGCTGATATAAATGCACTGCTTTTATTAAGAATGCTTCCTTTATTTTTTTTTCTCCATTTGTATGTTTTATGTAATTATGAATTTCTATGGGATGTTACAGGATGGTACATTTAGTATTGTATCCTAGAACGATTAGAGAATACTGTTGGTTTTTAAAGTTGCACTGGCTGTGAGGGGAATCGAAATCCATAGAAAGCCTGCACATTTAATTATATTTATTCAAACCATTTCTATTCTTTATAACTACCCACGTGATGTTTGTGAAGTTATTGTCCCCATAGGGATTTTACATCAAAAGAATGATGTTTCTCGCTTTCTCACGATATCTTGCCGTTTCTATTACGAATTATTCTAACCTTGCAAGCACGATTATGGTTAATCATCGGAACAAAAAGGAACCTGCTAGAGTTAGACAGAGGCTGCTCTTACTAAGATTAGACGGGAAACAAATCTGACAGATGGAAAAAGCTAGAATCGTTTACCTTTTTCCTTCCTTCCGGGAATAACTCTAGCAGACGCTTGTCATCTGAGCACGTGCAGAGTGTCAGGGCCACACCTCGGCCTTCAAAAGCCCGCTGTTTATTTGGAAGCGGCTCCCTTTTCTGCGATTCGCTGTCCTTCCGGGATCCTGCTCGTCTGGGATTCCTTGGGGATCTGGAAAGGAAGATCAGAACCCCGAACTATAACTATTCTCAACAATTTCCGATCAGAAAAATCCGCCGGCGGAACTTTTCGGAGCGCGGCAAAATTACTGTTTCCGGGGACTCGAGTTTGGGGCGTCCTCAATCAAGCGCGCTGGGAAAATAAGGGCAGGAACCGAACCCAGCAAAATGGGGTTTTGTTTTTGTTTTCATTCCGAAGACAGGACTTTCTTGGTAGGTAGGATCTTGGGAAAGATCGCGCCCCACTGAACCGAACCTTTTTTTTTTTCCTTTTTCTAAAAAAAGAATCGTTACAACCAGGCGTGGGAAAGCGTAGGGGTTAATTCGTGCGAGCGAGCGATTAACACAGATTAAGAAATTTTCTTTTAGATGGGATTGTAAACGGAGACTTAAGCTAAATCGAACTGTGTGGTTCAGTCCCGGGTGGAATTCCGCATTGAAAACGGGTCCCCGTTGCAGGATAAAACGGTTGTCCTCACCCAAGGACGCCCTGTCGGTGATCGGGTTTAAATCAGCTTTAAAATCGCGCGTTTTTGCTCTACTACTATGCAGGCGGTAAAGTAAGTTAAACTTCACAGGATGCGCCGGTGGGTTTCTCCGTGTGAGAGAGGCAGAGAAATTAGAAATCATTTATAATGGGGGGGCGAAGTGGAAGAGAAGAATAAAATATGCTTGAAAGGTCACCGTTTAATTAGTCCCTTCGGCATTATTATAATTGGTTTGATTTTTATCATTTGATTTAAATAACTAGGAAACTAAGGGACGAGATTCAGCCCCTTCAGTCGGTGAGCGGATTTTAAGAGTAACTTTTTTGGAAACTTCTCCATATCGCTCGACTCATTTCCAGGCCGCTCTTGCAGTTCACTTCTGCTTTATCCCGCGATCGGAAACAACAAAATAAATCGTCCAAAACTGCCCGTAGCTAGTTTCTCTTCTTTTCAAACAAGAAGTTTTTTTAAAAAAAAATCTCCGTTCCCTAAATGTCCAATCAAATCATGGTTTACCTTTAATGCATTTTTTTTTTTTTTTTGCAAAAAGTGAGAGGAGTTCGTTTCTTGCAGGATCCCCAAATCATTAAAAAAAAAAAAAAACCACTTGCTCTCTTTTCTGGTTTTTTTTATTTTATTTAGCTAACTCTGGCCAGGATCTTTCTCTTGCTCTAAATCAACATTTATGTCCACCCCCGCTCCCCATCCCGGATCGATCGCAATTGGAAGACAGCTAATTGCCTATCCGAAGAAGAGGGGGAGGGGGGGTTCGTTCTTCAAGGGTCCCCTCGACCCTTGAACCCCTCCGATCGCCTCCCGCTTTCCCGGCGACCGTTTTCCTCCTTTGCTCGGTTGGTCAATTTCAGCGGGTCAATTTCCCTTAGAACGAGGGGGAGGAGCTTCGGGGGGCGGGCGGGGCCTGCCCTCCACTCCGGGCGCTCCTGCCAGCCCTCCCCGGGGGCAAAAAGCCTCCGAGCTCAGTCATCCCGGAGAACGGGAGGGGGGCGGCAGAATCTCGGGATGCCGCCCGCTTGGGTGAGAGCTTGCCCCGCCGGCTGAAGCTGGTGGCCCGGCTGCCCCGCTGATCTTCTGCTCTTCGGGCACATTCGCGCCTCTGCAGGCGGCTGGGCTGAAGCCGCGCACCGCCGGCTGCGCTCGCTTCGGACCTCAAGCGGAGCCGCGTCCGTCGGGGCCGAGGCTGATCCGCGACTCCGGCCCCGGGTCTGAAGAACTTCTCTCCGCCCCCGCCGCTTCCCGCCCCCCCCCGCGGGCCTTTCCCTGGCGCGGAGATCGGCGACCGGCGGGGCGGCGGCTGGGTTGCGCCCGGAGCCGGGAAGAGGCTGGAGGGCAACCGGTCCGCAGCCGGCGCTCTTCATGCACCTGCCGCCGCAGGACGCGCTCCTGAGCATGGGCGACGCCGGGGGTGGCGGCGGCGGCGGCTTCTCGCTGGCTGGGCCCCTGCTCAGGAGCCCCGGGTCGGGGGGTCCCTCCTCTCGGCTCCACAGCATCGAGGCCATCCTGGGATTTACCAAAGAGGACCCCCGTCTGGGCAGCTGCCAAGGCCAGGAGGGCAGCGGCGGGGCCAAGCCGGGGAAAGAGGCGTCCGAGAAGATGGGCGCCGGCGGGGAAGGCTTCTCCCAAATGCCCGCCCAGGAGGCGCTGAGGCAGGAGCAGGCGAGCCCCAGGGCGGGGCGCTTCGGAGGTGAGGGGGGGGGGAGAATCAGTGCGTTTTCTGGCACCCACAAAGGCTTTTGGATCTGAACATCCCTATTTCCCCGAATTTGTGGAGGTCTAATGTGGCATCGGTGGAAGTCATATTCAAGAGCTTTTTAAATTCCCTTCTGTTATTAAAACGATTGTTTCAGGGTCAGTCCCTATTTGTGTCAACTTATTTGCAAAAATAATATAGGCGGGATGCATATTAACAAGTAAAGTTTTATTAATATAAAGTTTATTTCAGTGATTTAAGCTTAGCGGTAACAATTTGGTAAAATCTGGAATATGGCAGTCCCTTTGGACTGAGAGGAAATTCCACTCCTCATGCTTTAAGGGACAAAAAGATTCCTAACCCAAAGGGCTTTTGGGGGACATTTATAATAAAGGTGTTTTTAATTACCCCAGAAAACACATTTAGAGATGCTTTCCAACACCTGCATAGTCCAGCCACATTGGAGCTTTAACTGCTAAAGTTCCCAGCCAGGGAACCAGGAGAATTAAAAGTCCCAAAGCATTTGAAGGAAGCCACTTTGGGAAAGGCACTGTTAAAGATTGATCCCTGTTCTGCTGGAAATAAGCGATCGTTTGGAAAGTAGTTTTCTTGCTAAAGGCATCGTTCCATTTTTCAAAATAGCCTGCATGTTTTTTTGAAACTTGCCTGGTTCTTTGCTTCTTCTCTCCGGTGGTGGTTGCCATCCATATGTAATTTCATCCAAAATGATCTGTCAGAGAGCATGGAGCCCATGCTCAGTGTGTGACTGATGGATCACGCATCCCAAAAGAACTTGCAGTTTTAATCACCATCTTTTTTAACCAACCATTGGGTTAAAAACAAAGTAATTTTTGTCCCCTCTAAGAAGAAACGTCTTCTTAGACGTTTAGGGAGGGATTTGAGAGAGCGATATATATTAAATAAGCGCATTCTGCATGCCCTTAGAATACCCGCTTGGAAGTAATTGGATTAATCTCTAAGATGTCCATCAGGGCTCCCTAAATCTGTGGTTCTCAGATCCTTGGAAATGGATGAGATGGGCATATCAGTCATAACCAAAGCAACTTAGGATACCTTGACTTTAGAGGAACATGCTTATGAGGAAGTCAGCTTTAGGGTTACAATTAATTCCTAGTTCACATACTCCTGCTGGGCAAGGCCAAGGTCTTTTCTCAATTTTGTCATGCAAACCATGCCATCCTTAGGAATATCTCATGGACTGCTGTGAGAACCAGAACTTGGACTAACCCAGGAAGACGCTAGTAGCAAGTTCAGAGAAAATGGATCATGATGATAGATAGTGATGACAATTTTTCAATGTGGGGAAAAGAAAAGAAACAGTTTACGGTGCAGAGTTGATTGTGGATTCAATGTTTCTTTGCTAGGGCTTTCGTAAAATATACAAGCAAGACTAGTGGCCACAACCCCCATTACATCAAAATAACTTACTTCTGGGTAGACCTGAGCAAGATTGGGCTACAGATGACAAGTGGGGCAGCTAGTAATAGTATATTATTGAATCAGAGCAGTCAGTTTTTACAAGGACTTTGTCTATAGAGATTCTCAATCATCCAGGTCATGGTTGTTCAAAGTGCTTTTTCCAAAAGGCAGTTGGACTTTCTTAGGTTTTTTGTTTGAAAATGTTTTGCTTCTCATCCAAGAAGTTTCTTCAGTTCTAACTGACTGACGGGTAAATGGAAGAATATATACATATAACTCTTTCCATTATAATTCCTTCCATTCTCCATCAGTCAGAACTGAAGAAGCTTCTTGGATGAGATGTGAAATGTTTTAAAACAAAAGAGAGAGAGAGAAAGTCTGTTGGAAAAAGCACCATTGGGACAACAGATTTTAAAAATAAATTGGTAAAAGAGGAAGCAAAAGTAAAGCACCTAATATTTGCCTAATAACACAACAGGTTCTATCAGTACCGTAATGTTATTGAGATAATGGTTGACAGGGCTGTGTAAGTGATTCAAACTGAACTCCAAAAAGAGTGGGGAGTATGCAGCTGTGTAGAAAAAGCACCTGTTGGCAATCCATTAAAGTAGCAGCATCCAGTTCCAGAATGAGGCAGTTCCTGGGGAAAAAAGCATGGCAGGTTTAAGGAATTGCTGACACTGTGTTTGAACTCCTGCATAGCTTCAAGCAATTTCCTGAATTCAAATCAGAAGCACTGTACATTCAGCAATTAATAGAAAAATACACAATTTCCTGTTAGAAAATCTATAATTGGAGTGTACACCAATAGCTAGAGATCCCATGTCTCATGAACCCTTCATGAAGGCTATTCCAAGTGAAACAAATAATCAGCTGAGGGAACCTTCTGGAAAAAAATAAAATAAAATGGGAGGAAACGATATCGACATCAAGAGTATTTGCATGATACCCATGTCGATATCGTTTCCTCCCATTTTATTTTATTTTTTTCCAGACGGCTCCCTCAACTGATTAACTAGCCTCAACTGAACGTTCTGATGCAAATCCACTTACAGGTAGATGAGGCTTTCCTTATTTCTCACTTCCCAGAAACCTACTGTACCAAACATTCGGACAACTGCTTGAGCCCAGAGCTGTCTGTTTGTAACAGTGATGGCAAACTGTTAGATGAAGAGCAGCCCAAGAAGAAGCACAGAAGGAACCGTACCACCTTCACCACTTATCAACTTCATGAGCTGGAGCGAGCCTTTGAAAAGTCCCACTATCCTGACGTTTACAGTCGAGAAGAGCTGGCCATGAAAGTCAATCTACCTGAAGTCAGAGTTCAGGTAAAAGACATGTTCTTCCCTTCCCTTTTCCCATCTAGCTGTATCATGGAATTTCGACTAGCTAACCTCTTTTTTCTTCCTTCATTAGAGCATTGCAATATAATAGCAGCCTTGTTTTACTAATCCAATTTAAAGGCCCTCTCTTCCTTTTTGTATTTTTGCCCCTCTGGAGATAATTTTAGATTTGCACCCATGTTAAATGGTTTGTAAAGGGATTTTCTCTAATCTGGCTGTGTGAGTGTGTGTGTGTTCTAACTTTTCAGAGTGTAATTGTTGGTGTTTGGTTTCAGCACCTGTAAATCGTGGTCCTTCCACTCATGGCAATAAGAGTCCATAGAAAGGTAGATTGTGCCATTTGCAAAATCCCCTGAAATCGCAAAATGTAAATGTAAAAATGAATTAATCTCTTGTTTTGCTTTCTGTAACATTCACCTTATTACAAGGTTGTTCCATATTGTTTTGGATATGTTTGTGAATAATTGTACTGTATGTATTTGGCGTGCACTTTCCCAAATTTCTACATTTCTGCAAGCAAATTTCAGGAAGATTTGCCTGATGATATAAAATTACTTTCATGGTTTTTGATTCTAGAGATTCATCACAAAATTTGGAGAACTATCAAAGCCACTTTATATTCTGATTCAGTGTTAGTTTGAGCAATATAAATGAAGCTTGTTTATATTAAAATTTGATCCAAGTGAATTTGTAAACTGAAGTCTTTGTTTATTCATTGGATCCTATAAATCCAGGGATGGCAGGAGAGGTCCAAAAATGGAAGATAGATAGAAGTTTAATGAATTATTTTTTAATTGAGAATACTATACTGTAGAAGACAACATGATTAGTTGATACCCCACCTTTCTTTTTAGCGCTTCATTCCTTTAGCTGTTATTTTTCCTTGCAAATTTCAAAATCAGAATGCCCCTTTCTTCCAAACAACCACTTTAAAGTCTGTTTGGGGTACACTTGAAGGTAGTTATTTAACTAATTATGGGAATTTTGAAGCTGAAATTAATTAAAAGAAAGCAAGCGTGTATTTTAATCACTTATGTTATATGGTACACATTTTCTTTCATGTCTCAAAAAATTAATTGCAGTGTAATTAACTAAGATCAAACTATTACCGTTTCCATTTTAAAGAAAATGCATTTGTGCCCTTGGCATGAGTCCTTTTAACTGCTTGATCAAATCACAAATAAGTCATAGGTTGAACCATTAAGTCAAGCTAAGGGACTTAATTATTATGCTTAGCCTGTAACTGCAGCAAATTGGGACAACTGTCCCTTCCTTCCATTAAAATTGGCACTTTTATTTATGTAGGACAGCCCCATAGGCTGTCAGACAGAAAGAATCAAGTACAGAGAACTTTCCAGTTGTTAAAGCTGCACTATAGTAAGCATTTATAATGCTAACAGCTCTGTGTCAATAAATATGGAATAAGACTGCCTGACCTAGAGATTAGAAATTAGTTTCGCACGATACACTATAAAGATGCCTTCTTAGAAAAAAGAAATGCCTAATGAACATAAAGAGAGACGTTATATCAGGTTACTAATGTAATATAACTTTTTACTAATGTAATATGATTTGTAATCCCTTAATTTGGGGTAATGCTAGAGTAACTGAATGGAGTTGAGCATTTACTAGCCAGATGCTCCTTTTAATGTTATTGGGAGGGCAAGAACATGTAAGAATGAGGTCTATATTTGCATTATAGAGAACAGCAAAACTCGGACAATTTGTCTTTTTTAAAAAAAATATTAAAAATTATAATTGCAATAGTAAAAATATAGCTAAAAGAAAGAAAAAAGAGAAGAAAGAGTGAAAAATGCAAAGGAAAGGGAAAACTAGACAATGGAAAGAAAAAAGTAAAAATATAGTAAAAAAAAGGAAAGAATTATATAAAAAAGTGACTTCCAACTTTCATTACAAGAAATATAAACAACGTTAGCAACTTTTCACCACCTCTTAATTTATAGCTAATGATCTTTTGATCCCACTCCCACTGTCCCACTTCTTATCTTTAAACAAATTCATAAAGCATCACTATTTCAGCCTGGTGTTAGCAAAGGTCCATTAAGAATTGCCAGAAATAATAGCATATTTATTTTAGCCTTGATCAAATAAACCAACTTTATATTTCTTCCTTTTACTTCTTACAACTGTAATCTGTAGTCCATTCAAATAACATCATAGAACTTGGTTTCTTTTCATTTCTTTTTTACTTCTTCTCTCAAGATTCATCCAAACTTTAACAAACCTCTTTTGTAAATCCAATATAAAAGAGTTATTCAGGTTATTCTCTTAGTTTGTTACTTGTTATTTCTATTTTATTATTTTAAAAAAACAATCAATTTCTGGTATGTCTATTTAAACATCTTTTCCATATCATTCTTGGAACCAGTCATTTCTAGATCCACTTTCAGTGTCAGCTCTTTCTGTCTTGTCAGATAAATCTTGCTTCCCTTTTGCCATTTCTTCAAAATCATTTTTGCTACATATCTAAACATATTATGAGAAAGGCAGGATTGGAAATAATAACAGTTGGAATCAAAATTGGAGATCAAAACACAATCTGAGATATGCAGGTCATGCCATCTTATGAGCTGGACATACAGAAGACTTTGAAGAGCTCATTCAATCCAGAATCAGTTTAAATAGTGAAGACAAAAGGAAAAAACATTTAAAGCTCATTTAAAAAGTATAGAAGGAGAATGAGAAATCCAGGATAAGTTTAAATAGTGAAGACCAAAGGAAAAACACAAATCATTTTACCAATTTAATGAAAACAAAAATGGGTTTATAAACTAAGAGGTATAATAAGAGCAATTGTTGTGGGAGAGAGGAATGGCCACTGTCAACAAATTCAAACATGCATTCAATTAAAATTGTTTAGAACCCAAAGTAGGCTTAAAATGCTTCAACCAACATCTAATTTAGGGTGGACATCCTTATTTGTTGTGGTAATGGATACGGTGAAAATTAAATGGGAGCATGATTATTTGTCTTTTATAGAGTCATGAGTTTCCTGATCAAAAGTTGTAGGAAGTCTTGTGAACAATTTTCAGTTGAGATTTTCACGCAGGCTATTTAATAATTGGATAGTGAGTGCTCCTCAAGCTTACTTGCTCTTCCATTGGGCACTTTAGTTTTTGGCTATAATATTAAAGAGCTTGTATAGCATGGATTCACTTCTTAATAAGTAAATCATTTGCTCTCTTTTTAGTCCTACAAAATAGTTTTTCTGGAACATTACCTCTGTGCAATAGACTTTTGTGGAACGCAGTAATTAAGCAAAGTTCTTCAAATTAAGTATACCTAGAATTCCAGTTATTTAAAGCAAAGATTTAAAGACTTTCTAGTCTTTGTACTTTGTACATTTACGCTAACACATTATTTATTATCTGTTCACAACAATGTGAAATCATAGCTGCCAGTTCTTTTGTTTGTGTTGGCCTTCATACACATCAAGTGCTTCCTATAAACCTAGGATGTCATAATGTATCAGTATTGTATATGTGCAGATCCAAGCCATGTGGACTTTTGTAATTAACTGATAGACATGTTGTCAATGTACAGATTTTCAAAGTACTGTCCAAGATTTTTTGGTATGGCACCAGTGTGCCAATATCCAGTGGGACCACCACAGCTGAGTATACTATAATCTTTAAATTCCAATTTTCAGTTTTCAGATCTTGATATTTGGCGATCTCTAATTCTTTGTCTTCTACGGTCCTCTGACATCAATTATCCACACTTCTTTTCAACCCCATTATATCTGGCGTATTATAAGTCAAGTCTTTATCTGTCTGTATTCAAAGCAAATCCCGCTATTATTTATAGCCACCCACTCCAGTGGACTCTCAGTAACCTACTAAACATAACAATTAAAAACATAAAGAAAACAAGACAATGTGGATTTAAAACAACCATTAAAACAGTCCCCCCCCCAATATTAATCCCAGCTGTGAGACCAAAGCCAAATTTTAAGGGCTTTTTGGAGCCCCAGAAGTTTATGAATATTAATTGTTTTTTCTAGCTATATACATATGTGTACCTATGTTGCACCAATATGTTGCAGTTCCTATTTTATGACAAATGTAACATAGGGCAATTTCCCATCAAATCTCCGTCTCCTAATTAATTAAAATATTTAATGAGGGAGTCCCAGGTTTCAATCATAAAACTTATGTATTTGGAACATCATTTAGGATGGTTCTTCAAAAGGGAAAAACATTCACAATATTTATTTTATTTTATTTATTTATATTTCATATTTCTAACCACCCATCTCCCTCAGAGAAGGAGACAATGTTGTCTATGAGGCACAACTAGCCAAAGCTGCTGCCAATATGTCATTTTTATTTTAATGTGACAGCAGAGAACAATTGTTAAATATATAATGTGAGGTGGGGGAAGACTCCTATTAATCAAAATGTAATAATAAAATATTAAAAATAATAAACTTAAAATTTAATCAAAATTTAAATAAAATATCAGTCTGATTGATTGAAATAAATGTAAAGCTTTTTCTTCCTAAGCCTGATCTTTTTATAGGCACACAATCCTTAGCACATCAGTCTAAGCCTAAGCATGGATTTTAAGCCTTTTAAAGTTTGTTCACCCCAGTTTGGGTTCATGCGTAATATTCTCTGTGGCTATGCACAACATCTCAAAATCACACATGGCTGATCTTCATCAGTGGACATGGCAATTTGCAAAATATAAGTGGAAAAGACTCTGTCCTGAAGTTATTACATTCTGGAATTCACACCCAGGTAGACAGCAAATAAAGAAGTCAGACATAAGGAATAAAAAAGAAAGAATATGTTTGTTTCAGTATCTTCAATTGCTTATAGTTGTGCATGTTAGTGAAGTCAGGAACGAAGAATGATGATGGGTGATGCTCTTTTACTTTCTCGCCTCCTCCAATTAATCAAAAAGCAGCATTAAATAATCAACTCACCCTCAAAAGTGATCAGTGTAATATTTTTTTAAAAAGAGAGAATAATTATTGATTTTTTTTATAAACCTTACAACTCCAAAACCATTTACCAAAGTTACTTACGGGCTATATAAATCAGAAAAATAAATAACAAAATATTGCTCCAAAGACTTCTTCCTTGAATCTCTGGGTTGGGTGAAACATGACACCTATCTTCAAGGTTACTCCTAAAAGTACCAGAAGGTTTTAAAGATAGGAAAGGAGCCTACATTTCTGTAAAGTACACTACTAAGTATGTAGAACTTAGATTAGAAAAGAGATCATTCAGAATTTCCCTTTCCTCCAGTCCAAAACTTTGCTGGAGAAACTTGGATGTTTATTGTCTTTCTCATGATGATCCATGGATAGGACCTAAAACCCTTGGGAGGCATCATGGAGTAGATAAGAGGTGTGTCTTCTCACTTTATCTGTTAAAAATGAAGTCTTCCTCAAGTTGAGCTCAGCTCTTGGGGCTATACACAGTATTAAAAAAAGCTCTTTCTTCTCCCTCTAACACAGTGGCCCCCAACCTTTTTGGCACCAGGGACCAGTTCCGGGGAAGACAGTTTTTCCACGGACTGGAGGGAGCACACAACCTAGATTACCTCACATGCAAAGTTTACAGTAGGGTTCGTACTCCTATGAGAATCTAATGTCTGATGAACTGAGGTGGAGCTGAGGTGGTGATGCCAGTGGTGGGGAGTATTTATTTATTTATTTATTTATTTAATTTTATTTATATGCCGCCCAATCCCAAGGGACTCAGGGCGGCGTACAAAATTAAAACAATAATCTAACAATAAAACAATAAAATAATACAATCATACAGCGTGTCCAATCATATCCCGGCCCCACCCCGGGGACATCAGCCCCAGGCCTGCCGGAACAGGAGAGTTTTAACAGCTTTCTTAAAGGCCGGCAGGGTGGGAGTAGTTCGAACCTCGGGGGGAAGTTGAGTATTTGTAAATACAGATGAAGTTTCGCTCACTCACCCACTGCTCACCTCCAGTTGTGTGGACGGGTTCCTAAAGGCCATAGGCCACTACCAGTCCGAGGCCCAGCTCTAATATACACACCATCATAGTAACAATAATTTAATAACAGGACGTAGTACTATTTTATGACATGAAAGCCATCCTTCTCTGGCGTGTGGTTAATTCTGAATTCTGCTTCTCTAGGTTTGGTTTCAGAATCGGAGAGCGAAATGGAGGCGTCAGGAGAAGCTGGAAATGACCTCCATGAAGCTGCAGGATTCGCCTATCCTCTCCTTTAACCGCTCTCCTCAACCTTCTGCCATTGGGACTATTGGGAGCAACCTGCCCTTGGAATCATGGCTTAGCCCACCCATGTCGAACAGTAGCCCCCTCCAAACTTTGCCTGGATTTGTGTCCTCCCCACAAAGCCTCCCTAGCAGCTACACCCCTCCTCCTTTCCTAAACTCTCCCCCCATGGGACACACTTTGCAGCCCCTGGGAGTCATGGGGCCACCACCACCTTATCAATGTGGGACAAACTTTGTGGATAAATTTCCATTGGAAGAAGTGGATCCCCGGAATACCAGCATTGCATCATTAAGGATGAAAGCGAAGGAGCACATCCAGGCCTTTGGCAAACCGTGGCAGACAATCTGAACTATTTTCGGAAGAGGTCTCAGTTTGTACATCTTCTATTGGACAGATAAAGAGGACCATTGTTCTCAAGAGTGAATTTCAGCGTAGAAGTAAAGTGAATACTCAATGATTAGTCAGTGGAACGATGTGTCTTCCGAAGTTGTGGATGCTCCATCACTGGAGGTTTTTAAGGAGAGATTGGACAGCCATTTGTCTGAAATGAAGTATGAGTTCCTGCTTGAGCAGGGGTCTAGACTAGGTCTCCAAGGTCCCTTTCAACTCTGTTATTCTGACAAGCCATCAGTTGTTTCCTCCCATTTTGATTTTATAATCTTTTGGGTTCTCTGTCCTGTTTCCAGAACAGGACTTAGAATTAATTCTAGGTTTCCTTTGGATGGGATTGTAGGATTTTTTTTAAAATGATCTCATCTTTTGATATCTTGGCTGGATAAAACAAAGACAATTGTAACTTTCATAGGTGAATTTTGTAAACATTAAAGCACAAATATTTTTGCATTATACCTTGAAGAGGTTGACTTGTGTCTGAAATCATAACTGAATATGTTGTACTGCATTTTACAGTTTTATAATTTCTTCAGTAGATGTTAGCCAACTAAATAGTAAAAAATTCAAAGTGATATGGGATGCAAAGTTGATGAAAATGTGAGTAAGATAACTACTACTATATTTTTTCTCTGCATAATCATTTTATTAGTTTATAATATAAAAGACAAAAATACAAAAGCAAATAATAGGAAAAATAGGGGAGGAAAAAGGGAAGGGAAAAATGTAGAACAGAAAGAAAAGGCGTTGACTAACGACTCCCTTTGGTGCAAAAGAATAAGATAGTAACATCAGACTTCAACTTTTTAGTTTTACATAAAAGTATAAACTAGTTGTTTCTATAATAACAAATCTATCTAATCGGTAAAACCCAAAATCAAAGTTTCATTTTTTTCCCACTTCAAGCACAAAGTCCAGAAGCAATTTCCAAGTAGAAACAAAAGTAATTGTGTTTTTTTTTCTTTAATCAAAGCAGTCAATTTAGCAATTTCTGAATGTAGCCATTCATCCATTGTGGGAATCAGATCCTGCCATTTTTGTGCATAAAGTAAACTTGCTGTCATCAACGTATATAACTTGAAAGTTCAAAAAAAAATTTCCAAGTCCTTTTTCATTAAACCCCAAAGAAAAGTTTCTGTTTTTATCTTTATATTCACTTTAAGAATCTTCTATATTAGGATATGAATCCTACTTCAATATTCCTTTGCTTTATCCCATGTCCACCATAGATGATAAAAAGTCCCTTCTTTACGTATGCATTTCAAAATTCATTTGAAATACTTTACATATTCTTGACAACTTGTGTAGTGTTAAATACCAGCAATACATCATGTTATAAAAATTTTCTTTTAAATTGTAATTTAGTGTAAATTTTAAACCTTTCGTCCACATGTTCTCCCATTGTTCAAGCATTACATTATATCCTAAGTTCCTTGCCCACTGAACCATACAATGCTTTATATATTCATTTTCCAAATTCAAATTCTATAACATTTTATAGACCATAGCAATAATATGTCCACCACTACCACACAGTAGGATTTCCAATTCATTTTTAACAAAGTCAAACCATAACTCTTTGTCTAATTTAAATCTTTCAGTTGTAAATATGTAAACCAGTGGTTCTCAACCTTTTTAATGCTGTGACCCCCTCCAACCGGTCATAAGTCAAGGACTACTCAACCGGTCGTAAGTCGAGGACTACTCAACTGGTGCAGCACCGTTTGCAGAATGGGACTTTTGGCGGGCTCAGCAGGGCAGAGACAGCCTGGACAATTCCTATTGGCTTTTGAAAGCCAATAGAATTAGACTCTATTCAAGAGAGTCTATTCTATTGGCTTTCAAAAGCTAATAGTATAAAAGGGAGTAGCACAGCTAAGGAAAAGGGGGGAAAAATGGTGGACTGTGTTGTTTGGCGACCCCCGTGAAATGGTCGTTTGACCCCAAATGGGGTCCCGACTCACAGGTTGAGAGCCACTGATGTAAACCAATGGCAGACATGTCCTTCTGATTCTAGCTCTTCCTAAGACCTGAGGATAGGATCACCAAAATTAAAAGATATTATTTGATCCTAAGTCCAGCAGTCTGGCTTCATCACCATTTCTTTTCTGAAAAAGCTTTCTGGGGGGGGGGGACACACCTAAAGAGGCATCTTTACAGAAAGCTTTGTTTTATATTTATTCCAAACTCTTAGAATGGCACATCTAACAAAGCAGTTGTTAAAATTAACATTACTTTGACCTTGTCATCTCATAAATAATCGTGCCATCCAGATCTTAATTCATGAGCAAGTATTTCTTATTCTACTACTCTAGGATAGTAGTCTTGAAAGAGGGGTCTACACACCTCAGCAAAAGGCAAGCTATTTGTGTGTGGAAAATAAACATCAATATTACTACTATGGTTACCTGCATCATTCCTTTTTCATGTGAAGGAACAATTCTACTATGTTTTTACTGGGAAAGCTGCACCTCGTACTGTGTCCAGTTCTGGGTGCCACTTTTTAAGAAAGATTCAGAAGAACTGGAACAGATGCTGAGCAGAGCAACAAAAATGACTTGAAATTCAGCCTTAGGAGGAGGAAATGGTTAGGAGGAAGAGGAGGGGGAGGGGCAGGAGGAGAAGGAGGGGGAGGAGGAGAAGAAGAAGGAGAAGAAGAAGAAGAAGAAGAAGAAGAAGAAGAAGAAGAAGAAGAAGAAGAAGAAGAAGAAGAAGAAGGAGACCATCATTAGTAAATAGCCCATTCCCACTGCATTCAGTGGTTAGGTTTCTCAGATATAACAGTTCTTGCTTTTCTTTTCTTTTCTTTTTTCTTTCTTCTTTCCTAATGCAAATAATATAAAGCTCCCTCTATCACCAAACAAAATCTAGGTAGAGTTATTCTGAGCTTCTTTCTCAAGTCTTCCACTTTCTCAGGAATTATTTCTCCTTTTTCTTTTAACCGTTCATCCACCTCCCTGTTCCTTTATACCAGTGGTTCTCAATCTGTGGGTCGGGACCCCATTTGGGGTCGAACGACCATTTCATGGGGGTCGCCAAACAACGCAGTCTGCCATTTCCCCCCCCCCTTTTCCTTAGCTGTGCCACTCCCTTTTGAAAGCCAATAGAATAGACTCTTGAATAGAGTCTAATTCTATTGGCTTTCAAAAGCCAATAGGAATTGTCCAGGCTGTCTCTGCCCTGCTGAGCCCACCAAAAGTCCCATTCTGCAAACGGTGCTGCACCAGTTGAGTAGTCCTCAACTTACGACCAGTTGGGGGTCGCGGCATTAAAAAGGATGAGAACCACTGCTTTATACCTCCTGAACATCCAACCCTCTCCCAACTCAGTCCTTCTAAACCCTAGTAAAGAACAGGACCAGAGGTTCAACTTCCTTCTCTCATCACTCAAGGATGCCTAGTCTGTAATCCTCTCTGTCTCTCACCCAGAGAAAGGAGTTCCTTTTTTTCTTCCTTCCACAAAAGTCCAATCACTCCCCTCTTTTTACATATGCCTTATTTTAATTGTGATGTGTCCAACACAAATAAACAAGCACTCCCCTCTTTCTGAGGTCTTCCAGTCTCACCTTCTACTGCAGTGGTTCTCAACCTTTTTAATGCCGCGACCCCCAACTGGTCGTAAGTCGAGGACTACTCAACTGGTGCAGCACCATTTCAGAATGGGACTTTTGGCGGGCTCAGCGGGGCAGAGACAGCCTGGACAATTCCTATTCGCTTTTGAAAGCCAATAGAATTAGACTCTATTCAAGAGAGTCTATTCTATTGGCTTTCAAAAGCCAATAGAACAAAAGGGAGTAGCACAGCTAAGGAAAAGGGGGGAAAAATGGTGGACTGTGAAATGGTCGTTCGACCCCAAATGGGGTCCCGACCCACAGGTTGAGAACCACTGTTCTACTGACTTTCTACTTCTTCCACCTATAAAGATCAGGTGATGCATAAGATCTATCCCAGACTAAACCTTGGGGCCACCTCAAATGTAAAAAACACAAAGGGATGGTGTTCAATCACAGGGTCATGGATGCCATCTTTTTTTTTTAAAAAAAAATCCTTCTCAACAGATGCTCCTAATGCAAGTGATTATTAGCCTCTTGCATTCAAGAGCCAGCTTTCAAATTTCCAAATGAATCTTGAGATGTGCAATAAAAGTAACTCCCAGATATGAAAAAACTCTATATTTACAATCTATTATTGTCACTTGGAGTGAAAACGTTGGTGTGCTGGGAAGAAGTCTGTCACAGGGAATAAGGCAAATGGAATTAATAAAGGTGCATGGCTGAATTGTAAGGAGATAGGGAGGTTCTGTTTTAAAAATGTGTAATTAATGCAGGCCTTTGACTCCAAGCTTTTAATCTCCTGTAACTGGCATTCCAAGGAATCAAAGAAGTAGCATTTGGCTGACCACAGAGAGTTGTTTGAAAAAAAAAAAAAGTTTGGGGACAAAAACTTTTAGTTGGAAATGGTTGGGCAGACTTAAATCAGGGTTGTTTAATGCCATGTTCCTTCAGTTATACTTACAGTTTTAATTAAAGACATTTTTAAAACGTAAATATTGCAAATTTCATCTCAGTTTAGGCCTGTAAGAGCAGGCAGAGGTTACATTAGACTTTAGAGCATCTTAATATTATTAAACCAAATCACTCACTCTTGCTCACAAGAGAAATTTCTAATCCCAGAATCAGGAAACACATTTATGAGGAATAACCCCTCTTCTCCCAACTTGTTCGACAACTTGTTCAATAAAGCATTTTGCATTTTTTTTTTAAAGAAAAAAACATCATTTCTGGAGATTTGTTTTTACCCTTTTCCTATCTCCCATTTGGTCAATGTTCCACTTGGTTCAGCACCTAAAAACAGCTCTGTTTTAAGAAGAAGAATCAGGCTGCACTCAAGAGGAGAAAAAGGTCACACACAAACACACACACACATACACGCACACACAGCATTACCATTTTGTAGATAGGAATCTGTGTATTTTGTATTTTAATTTTTTGAATAAAAATAAAAATTTGGAAGAAGAAAAAAAGAGAATCTGCCACAGATACGCCCTGACTGCCTGCCTTCTCATGTAGGCCCAACCTTGCGATTTAGAAACTCTGTGTTTTACAACTGCCCCCATTATCTCTGTTACCACATTTAATGGGTCTGGAACCCTTTTAACTCAAACCTTCTCCTGCATCACCCATCCACCCCTCCTTGCCCCCCCCCGCTCCCTCCCTCCCCCCCTCTCTTTTTCCAAGCGGGCAGGGTGCTTTACAAGCATTCTGGAAATTGTGGCAATTAACGCTTCTCATTAGGGAGAGAAGCCGGGCTCACAAGGCCCTGCATTGTTTCTCTGGGGTGGGGAGGGCTCCATAAAGAGTGGGGGACCTCTCCATTCAGCATTTCCCACTCATTGTGGTCAGACAAAGGGAGGCTTCTAATTATATTTTCACAATCTGTGCGTATCTTGAAGGGCCCTGTCAAAAACAAGCCCATCATCTTTGTTCAACTTTCATTCAGGGACCTTTTTAACCTTAGCAGTTTCTCAACATCCCTGCCCAAAAGGGCCCTGGAAACAATGGGGGCTTCCATTTGTCGAGAACCTCTCGGGCCCATCATAATGGGAATCACTGTATTTTGGAAACAGTCCCTTTCACTCTCCTTCTCTTTCCAAGCACTTCGGCCTTCGCCTTTCTCCCTAAAACCAAGTCGACAAGCTCAAGCCGTGGGCAGACAATGCATTGTTTGGGATGGTTTGGAAACACACAAGGGGACAAAAAAAAAAAAAAAACTCAACACAATGAAGGACTTGAAAAAGGAGTAAATGCCTTTCGAAATGGAGATGAAGGATAGCCTAGTGGTTAAGGAAATCCTGGGTTCAGCTCCTCCCTTGACCACAAAGATCAAGAGATCATTGTGGGCCAGACTCTTTTCTTCCAGCGGACAAGAATTTTGCATTTCTTTAAAAAAAAAAAAAAAGCAGAAAAACCGTGAATGAGATGGGTGGTACCTAAATTTGACAAATACTAAGTAAGTAAGTAAGTAATAAGGTGACCAACCGTCCTCCTTTAGGGAGGACAGTCCTCCTTTTGTAAGTTCTGTCCTCCCTCAAAAAGTGTCCTCCTTCATGTCCTCCTTTTCGATATTTGAAGACTAATCTGCAGGGCTTTTTTTTCCTCACAGAATGCTCAGAACGGCTTCCAGCACCTTTTTTTGATGGTTTCTTTTTTCAACTTTTGCATGAGCTGTGCTACTCCCACTATTGGCTTTCGAAAGCCAATAGGAATTGCTGCTGAGCGCGCCAAAACACCCGGCTGGCAAACTTTGCACATGCAAGTTGTCTGTATTATTGTTGCAATGAGTAAAATGTTTCTTTTATTTACAATATTTTTTTCTTCTATTTATTTGTGTCCTCCTTTTCATTGTAAAAAAGTTGGTCACCTTATAAGTAAGTAAGTAAGTAAATAAGCAAGCAAGTAAGTAAGTAAGTAAGTAAGTAAGTAAGTAAATAAATAAATAAATAAATTTGGTCACACAGTTGCAGATGCCCTGTTGACTTTTTTGGCTCTCCCAGAGGATCTACCTCAAA